GATGGGTTGGGATGGTTGGGATGGGTTGGGATGGTTGGGATGGATTGGAGTGGTTGGGACAGGGTGGGATGGATTGGGATGGGTTGGGATGGATTGGGGTGGATTGGGATGGGTTGGGATGGATTGGAATGGATTGAGATGGATTAGGATGGTTGGGATGGATTGGAGTGGGATGGATTGGGATGGGTTGGGATGGATTGGGGTGGATTGGGATGGTTGGGATGGATTGGAATGGATTGGGATGGATTGGGATGGTTGGGATGGATTGGGATGGTTTCCCCCCTCCACCCCAACCAGATCAAGAATTATCCTGGCTGGCCTGGCTGGAAATCCCGTTGTGCAGCACTGTGGGGACAAAAATCCAGGGACATCAGCTGGGGATGAGCTCCTGAATATTGAGATGGATTAGGATGGTTGGGATGGATTGGAATGGTTTCCCCCCTCCACCCCAACCAGATCAAGAATTATCCTGGCTGGCCTGGCTGGAAATCCCGTTGTGCAGCACAGTGGGGACAAAATCCAGGGACATCAGCTGGGGATGCGCTCCTGAACATTCCCAGCCCCAAAGCTGAGCCCGAAGCTGAGCCCTCAGCAATCCCAAAGACACATCCCAGTCCTGGAGTCCCAAATCCCTGCTCTGGCACCTCTGGGAAGGCTCAGGCTTTGGGATCAGGCGTTGAGCTCAGGCTTTGGGATCAGGATGTGAGATCAAACTTTGGGATCACCCTTTGGGCTCAGCCTTTGGGATTAGCCTTTGGGATCAGGTTTTGAGATCACCCTTTAGTCTCAGCCTTTGGGATCACCCTTTGGATCACCATTTGGCTCAGCTTTTGGGATCACCCTTTGGATCAGGTTTTGGGATCACCCTTTGGATCAGCTTTTGGGATCACCCTTTGGATCAGGTTTTGGGATCACCCTTTGGATCGCCCTTTGGCTCATCCTTTGGGCAGCCCCACAGCCACTTCCTCCCCCCTTGGAAGGGAAATTCCCATCCCCGTGGTTTTGGGAAGCACACCCATCCTCCAAGGCAGGAGAGCTGTGCCAGCCCCGTGTGACGCCCCTGCCCAGCCCCAGGGGATGTCCCTTCCATCCCTCAACCCTTCCCACCCCACATCCCGTTCCTGGATCTGTTGAAAATCCAGGTGGAAAAATCAAGGTACAATTTCTTTCCCTCCAGCCCCGCGGAGCCTTTGGAGGTTTTGTTTCCTTTTCCAGCCTTTGCCTCACTCCTCCAATCTTCCCTCATGGCTCTGTGGGGGAAAAAGTCATTAAATACACACCTACTTCTTGCTTTTATCACTGATCTGATTATCTTGTAATTCCCTCCCCGAGCAGCAAACGACTGTGAACCGAGTTCTATCCAATTTCAACGGATTTGTAAATAATCTGGGAGTAGTAAAAAAAAGAAAAAGAAAAAAAAAAAAGGGGGGGGTTGGAAATCATGTCTTTGTCATTTCTGCTTTTCCTTTATATTAAAATATAAGGGATTTTATTCCATGTAGCATGCAAATCCACTTAGGGCTGTGTCCAGGGTGATTCCAGGGAGGAAAGAGGGCTGGGAGGGAAGAGGGAGGGACTCGCTCCGCACCTGAGCCACTCCCAGAGCTGCCAGACTGAGCGAGGCCCGGGAACATTTCCCTGCCCAAATTCCCTGCAGGGAAACAAATCACCCGTGGCTCACCCCCCACTGGCAGCCAAAAGTGGATTTTTGTGATTTTCCTTTTTTTTTTTTTTTTTTTTTTTTTTTTTTTTTTTTTTTGGTTAAAGGGGGGGGTTGGAAATCATGTCTTTGTCATTTCTGCTTTTCCTTTATATTAAAATATAAGGGATTTTATTCCATGTAGCATGCAAATCCACTTAGGGCTGTGTCCAGGGTGATTCCAGGGAGGAAAGAGGGCTGGGAGGGAAGAGGGAGGGACTCGCTCCGCACCTGAGCCACTCCCAGAGCTGCCAGACTGAGCGAGGCCCGGGAACATTTCCCTGCCCAAATTCCCTGCAGGGAAACAAATCACCTGTGGCTCACCCCCCACTGGCAGCCAAAGGAAAAAAAGTGGATTTTTGTGATTTTCCTTTTTTTTTTTTATTTTTGTGGTTGGGTTTTGCTGGAGGAATTTTTAACCTTAAAATGTGGAATGTTTGCGGAGCGATTTTCACAACAGGTCAGGTCCCACCGTGGGGAAATCCAGGTGGATTCAGGGAGGCATTTCAGGACCTGGCCTTCACCCCACGCTCCTCAAGAACCCAAACCTCCACCGGGATCCTTTCCAGCTCCTCCCCGGGGCTCCCTTGCCCTGGGAAGGCGTCCAGGTGACTCAGCAGGTGAAGCAACACCGCGGCTCAGAGGCAGAGGGGGAGGAGGCAGCACCCGGGGCAAGTCCTGACACGACTGGGATGGGGACGGATGGATGGATGGATGGATGGATGGATGGATGGATGGATGGATGGATGGAGCAGCCGGACAGGGCAAAATCCATCCCAGGAGGAGCCGGGGAAGGCAAGTTCCAGCCCAGGAGCAACCAGGGAAGATGAGTTCCAGCCTGGGAGGAGCCAGGCAGGGTGAGCTCCAGCTCAGGAGGAGCCGAGCACGTCCTTGGGGACAGCCCAGGCACAGCCAGGGGACACTGTGGGGCTCTTTCCCCCCCAGCAGTGGTGGAGCTGCAGAGCTCCCAGCCCAGAGGATTCCTGGGAGCTCCAGCCACTGGCCCAGCTGGAACAGACCCCTCCTGTCTGTGGTTTGCTGTAGAAACACCAAGCTCGCTGAAAATGAATCATCACCGTTTTCCTGGCCCTTTTTCCCTGTGGAATCCTGCTAAACCCTCTCTGTGCTCACGTGAATTCGCTTTCGCCTTCCTCTCCTTCTCCTTGTCCTCCTCCTTCTTTTCCTCCCTCTCCATCTCTTCTTCCTTCTTCTCCTTCTCCTTCTCTTCCTTCTCCTCCATCTCCGCCTCCTTCCCCCCTCTCTTCTGCCTTCCTTCTTCTCCCCCTTCTTTTTTCTTCTCCTCCTCCTTCTCTTCCTCCCCCCTCCCTTCTCCCTCCCTTCTCCTCCTCCTCCTTCTCTTCCTCCCCCCTCCCTTTTCCTCCTCCTCCTTCTTTCTTTTCCTCCTCCTCCTTCTCTTCCTCCTCCTCCTCCTCCTTCCCTCTCCCTCTTCTCCTTCTCCTTCCTCTTCCTCCCTTCCCTTCGGAGCTCCACAATATCCGACTCCAGCCGCCTGCTCTGCTGTGGGAGCCGCTCAGCCCAGCAGAGACACCGAGGGAGCTGCCAGGAAAAAAAAAAAAGCCAGGGGGTGGATCTCGTCTGCCGAGCGGCAGCGCCATAAATCACAAAAATCCCATAAACCCCATAAATCCCGTAAATCCCAGCGCCGCTCCCCGTGCCAGCCCCACCCCCGCAGGCCCGTTCCCTCCGCTCAGGGCCCGGGAGGGGAGGGCCGGGCTTGGGGTCACGCCTCCCACCGGGACCGGGCTGCTGGAGGCTCCCAGCGGGGAACGGAGCCAATCCCAGTGCTGAGATCCTCGGGATGTGCCAGGGGATGGAGATCCATGCGTGGGACACCATCCCAACCCCGCGGGACAAAATGATCCCAATCCCATGGGAAACCATCCCAATCCCAGGGGACACCATCCCAACCCCGCGGGACACCATCCCAACCTGTGGATCATCATCCAACCCTGTGGGACATGATGATCCCAATCCCATGGGAAACTATCCCAATCGCATAGGACACCATCCCAACCCCGCGGAACACAATGATCCCAATCCCACAGGAAACCATCTCACCCCCCTGGGACACAATGATCCCAATTCCATGGGAAACTATCCTAGTCCCACAGGACACCATCCCAACCCCACGGGACACCATCCAACCCCGTGGGACACGATGATCCCCAATCCCATGGGAAACTATCCCAACCCCGTGGGACACCATCCCAATCCCATAAAACACAGTGATCCCGATTCCATGGAACACGATCCCAATCCCACAGAATGCCATCCGAATCCCATGGGCACCCAGCAGCCCGGTGTGAGACTGAACGGGGATCCTGGGCTGGAATGGGGATCCTGGGCTGGAATGGGGGACCCTGGGCTGAAATTAGGGATCCTGGGCTGGAACGCGGATCCTGTTCTGGCTCGGTCGATCCTCCCTCCCCGCATACCGGACCGGGCCGCAGCTCCGCTGCTCCGTGCCCGGGACAAGCCCAGATGTGGCCGGGACAAACCCAGATGTGGCCGGGACAAGCCCAGATGTGCCTCCAGCTGCCCGGCGGATTTCTGAGCGCTGCGTCAGCGCCCCGACCCCGCGCGGGGCAGGCGGAAAACTCCGGGCAGGGAAACTCCTGGCAGGGAAATTCCAGGCAGGAAAACTCCGGGCAGGGAGCGGCTCCCAGGTGAGGGGCAGGAGGCGAACCCCCTCCCCAGGGGCCGGTGGGCAGGGACGGAAGGGACGTGGCAATGTCGCTGCCCCTCCAGCCCCGTTCCAGGCTGCCAGCGAGCAACGGGAACCACAGGGAGCTGGAAAATCGGGAGCAGGACAGACCTCACCTGCGGCCACGCACAGCCTGCCTGGGCTACAGAAATCGGGGCCCACCTGAATGGATTCAGCAGAGACCTTCGGGGCTTTCCTTTGGAGCGTCCCCAGCACTCCGGCGAGCCCAGGAAGGGTCGGGTCCCCCCCGGCCCAGCGTTCCAGCCCCCCGAGAGGGTTGCCGGGGGTCAGAGGCGCGGGGATCCCTGCGGAATGAGCCAGGCACAGCCCAGGCCGCGATTTTGGAGCCTCAAAGCCCTCGCTCGGAATCCAGCAGAACAGGAACTTCAGCCCGGACCTTTCCCGGCCCTGCTGCCCCGGCTCGGTTCCCGCAGAGCCCGGATCCACCCGCGGGCCGCTCTCAGCATCCGAGAGAGCACCCCGCTGCTGCTCCTGCCCCCGCCGGGCCAGAGGAGGGGCCGGGGGCGCAGAGGAGGGGCCGGGGGCCGGCGCACAAAGCCGGGGGCTGCGCCGGGGCGGGCCCGGTGCGCGGCCGCGGGGTCCAGGCTCCTCCTCCGCCGCCGCGCCGGGGATGCTTTGGCCGGGCCGGCTCCGGGAGCCCCGCGGAGCCCCGCGCCGCGCCGAGGAGCCAGCGGCCACCCGAGGTGGGCACGGGGGGACACCGGGGGGCCGCGACCGGGGGGGTCCGGGCAGGGCCACGGAGGGGACACATCGGTGGCACCGGGGGACGCTGCCAGGGGAGGTGCGGGGACACTGACGGGACAGCGAGGGGACCCGGACGGGCTGAGCTGCGCGGTCGGGGCTCCCCACAGTGTGATGGCTTTGGGGTGACCCCCCCCACGCTGGGCACGGCGGCCCCGGGGGTGCCGGCACCGGCCCGGCTCCGTGGGGACAGCGCTCGGGGCTCGGGGACAGGGCTGGGGCTCGGTGACAAAGAGTCGGGATCGCCCCGGGAGGGCGGCTGGGCTCGCCCCCGCTGCCGGCTCCCATCCCTTTGGCCGCTCGGAGCCGCCCGCGGCTCCCCCGGGGCTCAGCTCTGGCTTTTCGCTTCCCTCTGAAGTCTGGAAAACTTCTTTTCACACGGCAGCGAGAAAATTCTGCCTGTTCAGCACCTCGGTGCGGGCTGCCTCAGGTTACAGAGCCCCGGCCTGCCGGGAAGGAGGGGAAGGAAGGCAAGGAGCGGATGCCTTTGGTTTGTTGTCATCAGCTCGGAGCCATCCCGGCGAGGGGCTGCCTGCTCCTGCAGGAATTCTGCGCCGCTGGAGCTGCGCGGGCAGGGCCGGCTGCGTGGGAGGGGAGGAAGGAGCGCGGGGGACCCCTGCGGGAAATGCCAACCGCACCTGGGGGGATGCGGCAGCGCCGTCCCGCCGCCTCTGCCCGGGGCTCGGCCCTGCCCGGGGCTGCCCCCGCTCCGGGCCGGGCTCTGCAGCCCGGGGAGGGCGTGGGAGGGCGGTCAGAGCCGCCCCGAGGCCGCGCAGCTCCTGGAAAGCCGGGGATGAATCTGGCCTGGAACAGCGGCGCGGGGCTGTCACCGCTCAGCCGGGGACACGCGGAGCTCGGGGACAGACCCGCGCGGGGACAGGTCCTGGCAGGTCCTGGCAGGCGACATTCCCGGCGCTGCTGAGCCGTGTGTGCTCTGTGACATCTCCGGAGAGCCCTGGGCTCTCCCTCCTGCTCCAGGGGTCCCTCCCGCAGGACAGGACCCCCGGGTGTGGCAGGAGGGTCCCACACCCACCAGAGGGCCCGGGGGTCGTGTGGGACCCCCAAGTGCTGATCCACGCCCCCACCAGGGATGTGTCCCCTTCCTTCGGTCCCGGCTGCAGGGGTGGCACAGCTGCATCCCGGGGAGCTGGGCTTGGTGTCCTGCTGTCCCCTTCTGCCACCCCCGCTCCGTGGCTGCACTGTCCGGCAGTGCCCAGCCCTGGGCACCCCCTGGGCCCGGGGGGTTCCTCTCCGTGTCCCGTGCTCACAGTGGATCCTGCGACCTTCTCCTCCCCCGTGGGCCTCGGGCAGCCAGGAAGGAGTAGCGCCGGCCCCATTTTTTGGGAGCAGGCCGGTGTGTTTCCACAGGAGCCCCCAAACCCCCCCAGAGCTCCTCTTCCGCACCCGAGGCTGCGGCGAGCGGAAAAGGAGCAGGGAAAAAAACTCCCCCACCATCAACCAGACACTGATTTACCTTCCCTGGGAAGCTCTGCCAGGGGTTCCTGGGCAGCCCAGCCTCCCATGCCAGTGTCACACTCTGTCCCCTGCGTGCGTCCGGCTCACCTTTGTCCCCAGCCAGGCTCCTCCAGTGTCACACTCTGTCCCTCCCGTGTGTCCATCTCACCCCCGAGCCCCCAGCCAGGTTTTCCCGGGGCTGCCAAGCCGCTCCGCCCGGGTCATTAATTACCAGTGCCATTAATGAGCGGCACAAAAGAGCTGAAAGTGCGAAATGCTCGCAATCGGCGTTGGGGGCTATTAATGGCAGCTGCAAAAGCGCACTCAGCCGCACAATCGCGGCTCCGGGGATGCTCCCCGGACTCCCCGGAGCCCCCAGCCGTGCCCGGCCACAGGAGCCCCCAAAGGGCGAGCCCTGTGTGCCCGGGCGAGCCCTGCCTGGCACGGCGGGGCCGCTGGATGGGGCCGGAGCCGCTCCGTCCCTCCCACCCGTTCGTCACCGCTCCTGGCAGGCAGCGCTGCCGAGGGGGGAGGCGAAGGCTCAGGCAGCAGCATGAGAGCTCCAGAGCAGCCCAAAAGGGCTGCAGAGCCCCGGCAGAGCCCCGGCAGAGCCCCCCGGCCGCGGGGGCTGCCAGGGCAGCGCTGCCGTGCCCGGGTGTGCAGGGCAGGAGGGGCAGCGGGCGATGCTCGGCTGTGGAGGGGACAGGGATCTGTGCCAGGGAGCTGCCGCTCCTCCTGCGCCCCTCGCTCCGTTCTCGGCCCCAAATGCCTCTTTTCCCTCTCTGGGGAAGGCTCTGTGTGCAGCGGGCAGGTCCGGTCATGCTCAGGTGAGGCTCAGCTGAGGCATCCACGGCACGCAGAGATGGGCAGCACAGAGCAGCAGGGGCAGGAATCTGATCCTTGGGACCATCCCGGGAACCCCTGAGAGCCGGAGCCGAGCTCCAGGGGCCCTTCCCGGGACACCAGGGGCCCTTCCCGGGACACCGAGTCAGCCGGGGCCACCGGCAGAGCTCGGTGCCCGCGCTGCGTGGCCAAGTGTGAATCCGTAGTAGCACTGCAGCTATTCCGGGAGCTGCTGCTAAACCTGCTGCAGAACCTGCTGCTAAAACTGCTCCTAAAGCTGCTCCTGGAGCAGCCCAGCCTGGCACAGACACGGCTGTGGCTCCGTGGCAGAGCCGTGGGACCCCCATCCTTTCCAGCAGGGAAAGCTCAGCCCCCACAGGAAATTTGGAGGGGTTTTTGCTGTGCCCTCAGAGCTGCCTGGCGTGTTTATAAATCTCCTCTCTCCTGGGAGGCCCCAAATCCACCCCCTGCCTGATTTATTCCGTGTTCCTCGCTCACCAGCTGCCCTTGGGGGGATTTTTCCAGGAGCTGCAGGGAAGGAGCGGGGCCGGGAGCAGGAGCCCCGGGCAGGGTTTCCATTCGGGATTAGTTAAAAATAGCCGGGAATGCACAAAGATTCCGCACGTGGCTCACCAAGGCCTTCCCTGCTGCCGGCGTTTTGTGCTGCTCCCCTGGCTGGGAGAAGCCCCTGTGAGCAGCAAGGGCCAAGGAATTCCTGGGTTTTTTTGTGGGAAGCCCTGAGTGCTCCCAGGCGTGGCCATTCCCTGGATTTGGGGAGCCAGATCCTGCCCCGGCAGCGCTGGGGTTCCTGCGGCAGCGCCCCCGCAGCATTCCCAGCCAGACCTTCCTCCTCTTCCTCTTCCTCACAGCCAGGACTTCTCCCCCTGGGCTGAAATATTCCCATTTTCCCCTCGTGGCAGCAGCAGCGAAGGCAGCTCCTGCCTGAAGGGAGTTCTTATCATTTCTGGGAGAGCCTGGTCCCCGAGCTCTGGCTCTGGGAGGATCCTCTGAGGCCTGGGAGAGGGAGAGGATGCAGCTGGGAGATCCTGGGAAAGGAAAAGCTCCCAAAAATCCCTGCTGCCATCCCAGGATGTCCCCTCTGAGCTCTCCCAGCTCTCCTGGGGGCAGGGCTGTGAGTTTGGGCCCTTGCCCAAGCCAAGATCAGAGGTTCCAGCTCAGGATCTGGGAACATTTGGATCTTTAAATCCCTCTTTTTCCATCTCCTCCTGCTCCTCCCAATTTTCGGAGCAATCCAGTGACATCTCCGTGAGCCACTTAGGGAAGAGCTCCGTTAAAGGTTAATTAAATATTCCCTGCAACTTTGATGCACATTTCCCTGTTGGGAGAGCTGCTCCATTTGGCAGCCAGGCATTAAAGGGGTGGATTTCACCACGGGCCAAGTCTGGGAAAGCGAGGAAGAGGAAAATAGGAAGCGAGAACTGAATTTGCCTTTTTTTTTCCCCCTTCTGCCGCTGCATTGGAAGGTTGGGATGGGATGTGACACTCTGGGAAGCAGGAGAGGAGCTGGGGATGAGGAGACAGCGGCAGCAGATGCTCCTCACAGCGAGGACCCAGCTTGGCTCCTCACCACGAGCAGGAGCTGCCAGGCAGGGACAAAAATCCCCAAATTTAGGCAAGCTGGGTGTAACTGGTACCACAGACAGGGAAGGGAGGAATCACAGCAAAGCCCAGCCTGGAGCTGGCACTGGGTTTGGTTTGAGGAGGATCTTTAGGCCCTGCCTGGCCGAGGTTTCTCTCTGGCTCTCTCAGTTTCCTCAGGCTGGGACAGAGATTTGGGGCTTCCAGCTGCTGCCAGGGCCACTGACTGCCCCTCCTGTTCCTCAGGCAGTGTCCAGCTCTTGGCTGGAGGAAAAAGCCCCAACCCAGCCCAATTCCAGCCCTTGTCCCCTTCCTGGCCGTCCCCAGGGCGCAGCTAGCAGGGGACAGCAGAGGGTGGCCCCGCGCCCCTCACAGTGCCCACCCGAGCCCAGCAAGCCCAAATTTGCTTTATGGTGCCCAAAGTGGCCCTGAGAGGGGGTGAAGGAGCAGAGAGGGCACCCAGGGGGGGTGGGCTGGCTGCTGTGGCCACCAGGAGCAGAGGGGGCAGTGCCAGGGGGGCAATGCCAGCCGGGCAATGCCAGCCCCGCTGCTCCCGGCTGCTTTTCAGCCGCTCGGGAGAGTGGGGAGAGACAATAAAAGGCGCGGGGATTGCAAACACAGCCCGGTCTCCATGGCAGCCTGAGCACCGCTGCTAAATTTTGCCTGTACGTGGAGAGGATGCTGCTCCCCTCCTGTGCCCGGGGGAGTTGTGCAGCACCGAGATCCTGGCCCAGGTATTTCCTGCGGCTTTTGGGCAGCTGGCTGCCTCGTGGAAGGAGCCCTGGGTGCCACCAGCGAAGGGGTTTGCTGTCCCCATCCCGGTTTCATCCATAATTCAGGGCCGAAGCCACGTGAGCAGCGCAAGCTGGGAGGAGAAGTATTTCGGGCTCATGCCGAGTTACAGCGAGTTCCTGCTATTTTTAGCAGGACAGACAAAGCTTTCCCACCAGGCAGAGCCCGGGGCCAGCGCGTGGGAGGCTGCGGGACCCCCAGCCCCGCCGGGGTCGTTTTTGCCCAGGCAGGAATTTGGGGATCCATCCCCGAA